AGTGGGGAGGAGGGGAGGAGGAGTAGAACGAGTGAATCAGTTTGCGGTCGAGAAGGTGGAGGATGCACTGGGAGCGATGACTGTGAATGTGCGGGTTGTTGTACGATAAGGAGATGCTCGAATCTGATCAGGTTCTGTTTCCTCTGTGCTGTCTCAACAAGATCTTGTTCTCACTGAATTGTTGCAGGAATCTCAACGTCTCCCATGACAAGTCTGAGATGCTACAAGTGAAGCCGACGAGTATGCTCTGTTGATCTTGAACGGACTTGAGGTGGCTGATCATTCCAGCAGGAAGCATGCTTCATGGTGAGAGCACTTAAGCTGCCATGATCGAGTCTTTGGTTCGTCCTCAACTTGTGGCCCCAGGTAGCAGTTTGGAAAAGAGGCTGCAGCAGCAGATCAACGCTCTGGTGGAGCAGATGCATCTGTGAGTCTGAGAGGGTGGAGGCGAGAGAGAGGATGAGTGGGAGGGAGGAGAGGTGGGAGGGAAGGGAGGAGAGGTGGGAGGCAAGGGAGGAGAGGTGGGAGGGAAGGGAGGAGAGGTGGGAGGCAAGGGAGGAGAGGTGGGAGGCAAGGGAGGAGAGGTGGGAAGGTAAGAGGGAGGAGAGGTTCGGATTCTCACGCTGGTGATTGTCAAGTGACAAGAAGAAGTTGAAGAGAGTTCACTCGATGAGTCGAGTACAGGCTGAGCAGCTGAAGCGCTTGAGCGATTTTGTGTCCTATCACTGGCAGAGGTTATCAAATTATCCTGCTCCCGCTCCCGCTCCCGCTCCTCCTGCTCCTCTTACACCTGCTCCTGCTCCTGCTCCTGCTCCTGCTCCTGCTCCTGCTCCTGCTCCCGCTCCCGCTCCCGCTCCCGCTCCTCCTGCTCCTGCTCCTGCTCCTGCTCCTGCTCCTGCTCCTGCTCCTGCTCCTTGATCCCCTGCTCCTTGATCCCCTGCTTTTCCTCCATCCTTGCTCCTCCTTCCCTAACTTGTCAAAATAGGGAAGAAAATTTCTCTCCCGAGAATTCTCAGCTTGAGCGTCATCCTCTTGAAGTCTCTCAGATCAACTCGCAAGTCTGTGGCGAGGAGAAGGAGAGGGAGGAGGAGGAGGAGAGGGGAAGCGGTGTTCCATGGAGCCGCTCTCCTTTGATGCCGGGGCATGCTGCTCCTGCTGTTTGGGATGTTCAAAGTCGACCAGCAAACTGCATCGCAGCAGCAAGAGAAGTTGAAGATCCGCCTTGGTTGAGGAAAGACAACGACATCATCCCGTTCCATCAAGGAGGAGGAGGGGAAAGAGTAGGTGAAGGCAGTGGAACAAGAGGAGCAGCAGGGGAAAGAGGAGGCAGACAAGGAGAAAGAGGAGGAGTAGGTGGTGGAGGAGAGCCAGGTAGAGGAGGAGAACGAGGAGGAGAAAGAAAAGGAGCAGGAGCAGGAGCAGGAGGAGGAGCAGGAGAGCGATTGCACTTTTCTGCGACATGGGAGGATGGAGCGAATAAGTTCGGTCAGCCCTTCTCGGACCTTCATGCTGCTCCTCCTGCGCGGACGGGCCGGCAGCCGCGCAGCTTCCGGATTCAAAAGTTCAGGCAAGTGACAGGGGAAGAGCCCAAGGGTAGGCCGAGAGGAGGAGGAGGAGGAGGAGGAGGAGGAGGGGAGCTGCGAGTGTGTGCCTTGGAGGAGGAAGGAAGAGAAAATTTCAAGACAGGCGAACGCTGAGGACGTTTTGAACTCACTCAAGTCTACCTGGTTGCAGTAGACACCTTGTGGTCAATAGGCCGGGGAGGAGAGGTGGTAATGGCGGCAGGCGGATCGGCAGGCAGAAATTGTCGACGAGCAGATCAAGGGAGGAGGAGGGGAGAACGAGAAGGGACCGTAGAAGGAAAAGGGAAGGAGCAGGAGCAGGAGCAGGAGCAGGAGGAGCTTACAAGACATTCTCTTTTATAGAATCTTTTCAGATCTCATCGTATGGTGTGTTGGCCATCCAGTTGTCAGATGTCAACTCGGGCGTATTTACAATCACATACTTCATTGCCCGCATCCTCGGCCACAGAACAACTTCTGTAGCAACAAGTCAGGACTCCTCCTCCTCCTCCTCTCATCCTCCTCCGC